GCTTGTTCCCCCGCCCGTCCATGCTGCACTAATTGTGTCTCTCCATGATTCGTGGCCTTCCCACATTACTTCATACCGGAAAGTTTTCGGCTGCCTGCTCCGTGGCTGCTCTCTCTTCAGACGCAGCAAAATGGGGCAATGATCAGAGGACGCTGCCGTCAAGTGTGTCAGGTCTGCAAGGGGAAACCTTGCGCGCCAATCAGGATTAGCTAGGGCGTGATCCAGCCGTACCCTCGTGTAGGATCCCCCTCACCTTCTTTTCAAAGGTCCAGAAACGACCCACATAACCAACATCTAGCAACATGCACACGTCAACTGCCTCACGAAAATTCTGTATCTGCGCATTACTCCTTTGCCCAACTCCTTCATGCTCGTCGGGACGTAGAACTTCATTAAAATCACCAAGGCAATGCCAAGGTAGACTGCTGGAAGTGCTAATATTTTTCAAAGTGTCCCAAGTTTTATATCGAAGATGTGTCTGCGCTTCGCCATAAACCACAGTAGCTCTCCAAGGCTCAAAGCCTCCCTCCTCAACAGAACAATCAACATGGTAGTCTGAGTAACCCAGGATTTCCAACTTTATTTCATTGTTCCAGAAAATACCGATAGCTCCACTTCTACCACGACTATTAATAGCAAAACTATGATCATAGCCAAAAGTACCCGCTAATGCTTCTACCCTTGAGCCTTCTAGCTGAGTTTCAACGATACATAAGAGGGTAGGGGCAAATTTGTTCGCGAACTCGCGAACCTCTCGAACTGTCGCGGCTTTGCCCACGCCACGGTAGTTCCAACATAGCGCACTCATTGGGTCTGGCGGTGCTCCTCGAAGGAGCCCGCCAAATTCTTCACTCTTGAAGTTGCAACCTCGGTATCTTCCTCCATCTTCTTGGTTCTCTTCATATCTCTATGTGGCGGTGGGCTAACAGCAGCCAAGGCTGCTGGCACAATTGCCAGCGGGTTCACAGGCTCCCCTGCAGATTCAGTGCTTTGAGGCATGGTGACTTTGGCTCCCAGCTCGGCTGCCGCATTTCTCTTTCTGTTCCAGTCCTCCATCTCCGCATCGCTGGCCCCCCTGCTTGGGTCTCCCACTTGATATGCAGTATGAACATATTGATCTGTCGCATCATCCCGGCCTCCCCCTAAACGGGGACTGGATCGGCCGCCTGATCGACCTCCTCTCCTTCCGTCCCTCTGGCTGCGGCCTTCTCCTGGACCCGTAGATTTTTATGCAGTCCATCATGCTGGGACCTCCTATATGACGCATTTTGCGTCATGCAGCAGCTCGACGCACAGGGGCGACGCGCTACTGGGCCGGCCCAATCTGTTTCCTGTCGCATGACACCAAAAAGGCTATAAATAAAAACAATAGAGTTGCGACGGAATTTGATCCCACGACCTCCTGCAACTAACAGCGAGCCCCTCGCCACTACATCAGACAACAACAGCTGACCACCAAGGTGCAAAACATTATAAGACCACACAGAAAGCGCTGAGATTTCGAAAACATTTCTTAAAAATAGTGAGAAGTTTTGAAATGCCGCAATTTCATTATATTCCTTTTTTTACAAGTGAAGATTTTTTGAAATCCAACTTTAAAATTAAACACGAACAAATCCTGCAAATCCCGAACAGTTTTCCAAAGCGCAAACAATTTTTCAAAAATTTAACCATTTCTGAGAAAACGAACAAATTATGAAAAATGTGTACTTTTTTTTTCAAATTTCTGAATATTTCCTGAGACCACGAACAGATTGTAGGTTCTGAAAAAAAATGGAAAACATGAACATTTTTTATGTTCAGAACAAAAAAGTTAAAACAGAACATTTTTAATGCAAACAAAATTTTTATTGTATTCTTTTTTTGGAAATGCGAACAAAATTTGAAACCTGGGAATGTTTATTGTAAATTGCGAACAAAATGATGAAACCGTGAACATTTTTTTAAACATGAACATTTTTCTGAAATGGTTCACAAATTTTGAAAAAGAAAATATTTTTTGAAATTACTAAACATTTTTTGGACATATTTTCAAATTCAGAACATATTTTATGAAAATGTGACCAATTTTTGTAAATGTGAACAAAATTTTGAAACTCCTGAACAGCTTTGAATTTGTGAACAACATTTGGAACATTTTTTTGAAATTTCCATACATTTTTGCATTTGCAAACAAAATTTAAACATGTGAACAGTTTTTGTATTTGTGAACAAATTTTGGAAATGGGAACTTTTTTTGAAACAAAATGATTTTTGTTTTGTGAATAAACCATTAATAGGTGAACAGTTTCTGAAACGATGCAAACAATTTTTTAAAGCACGAACAATTTTTGAATGTTGAGAACAAATTTTGAAATGGAGAATAAATTTGGAAGCTCGACCAATTTTTTAAAGCACGAACGATTTTTGAATGTTGAGAACAAATTTTGAAATGGAGAACAAATTTGGAAGCTCGACCAATTTTTGAAAGCACGAACAATTTTTGAATGTTGAGAACAAATTTTGAAATGGAGAACAAATTTGGAAGCTCGACCAATTTTTGAAAGCACGAACAATTT